ACATAAGCCACCCTCATCCTGGTTATGCCAGATCTAAAGGGTCCATTTGGACTTAGTTTCCTTTCAGCAGTCTTATAAAAATTTTCCAAAATTCATTGTCATCTTTTCCTACTCTGTTCAAGATATATTTATTTCAAAAAATTAAAAAAGCAAAATGTGTTTTCTAAGGCTTTTACAAATAAACCACAAGAAACATTTTTACATAAGTGATAAGGATCATGTGAAATTGGAAAAAAAAATTAAAATATATTTTAATGAGATTATTATAAAAATCACAAATTTTTGGTAATGGTAGAAATACTTTCATAGAAATTCCTTTTATACATTCAGGAAAATGTGGTATTGGTGAGAGGTATGGTAACCATGTAGTTTATTTTCTAAACAGAGCCAAACTTGGGGATAAAATTACAAGCAAAGAAATGTAGAAAGTGGGATTGTATCTGGTGACCATATGTGTGGCTACTGGGCAATGACTGGGAAGCAGGGATACCCCAGTTGGAAGGGTTGTGACTGGGAGACTGGAATCTGTGCCATAGTCTGAGGTGATGAGCTTGGACACAGAGACACAAATGCTGTCACTGAAGAGAGAGGCTCGCGCCAGAGTGTGCCTGAGTGGATTTCATTCATCACCATCAACATACAAAGACCACATTTAAACACTTTCCTACGTGAATTCTATGCATCTGGATATTTATATATCTCTCTAGAATTCACAGATATTTCCAAAGGATTAAATATCTGATTGCTTAATAAAATAGAACTTATTTTTCAGGAAAATAACATGAAGATGGGGAATAACACATTAGAATATGAAGATTAGAGAAAAAACAGACATTTAAATGGGTGCATACATTTGGACTTATTAAACATCATTGCACTTTATGCAGAGAAACATTTTACCAAAATTCAAAAGGCAAGAGCTGGTTATGAGACGTATTGGAGACAGACATGTCTTGTATAGATATTAAAAATTCAGGAGACTTTCTGTAAGTCAGTTGATAGCATATTCAATCATTCATTTGTTTTCATACAGCGATATCTTCATTTGTATTTTATATTTCAATCCAATGCTGCATAGTTTTGTTATCAAAATTATGTTATCTTTTGCCTTTTGGAATACATTCAGGCGGTACTTGTGTTCTTTTTTTTAACCTTTTTAACAAACCTTTATTAATACATATTTTTCATACATGATGATTACATTCATTGTAAGGAATTGGCACATACACATAACACATTTTGATTATCTTTCTCCCTTTCCCTCTACCCCCTTTTATTTTTCTAGCACGATTCATTTATCTTACAAGACTGTATGAAGTTAATTATCATGTGCACAGATTAAAACCAAGCAAATAGGCCAAAGAACATATAAAATATATAAGATAATTATATTAAATCAAATTACACTTGTAGATGCATTGCTCGAGCTGGGTTGAAATAACTTCTCTCTTTCCCCCCTGTTATCTGTCTTTGCTTTTGTTCTTTTTATGTATTAAGTTTTTCATGTCAGAGAAACCATGCAATAATTAAGCTTGTGTGTCTGAGTCACCCCACTTAACATCATGAAGTGGATCCGTTTTCCTACAAATGACTCCAGTTTATCCTTCCTCGTGGAATTTGTATCCATTGTGTGTAAACACCACATTTTCTCCATCCACTCATTCATCGGTGGACTTATAGGCTGTTTCTAAGATCTAGCTATTATGAGTTGTGCTGAAGCAGACATGGGAGTGCCTGTGGTACGAGGCCCTAACTCTTGAGAAGTTTCCTTGAAGGGGTGCTGTGTCCCCACTATTTTGTTTGTGAAGTGCTTATTTACTTTATAACGCTACGCGATTCTTGAAACTGATGTAATTATCATGCACACTTCCCCTCCCAGCCATTTGTCGTAGTAATCATATTTCTTTTTTGCTGAAGAATGCTAGAAACCAAGATGTGAACTGGGGATGATATGGATATTCTCGATGTTACTGGATCGGCAATATTTTTAAGTTACTCAGCAGGAAGAACTGCTATAGTTAACTTAGCTACACATGCTTAGCTTTGCATGGAGAGCTACTCCTGCTTCTCTACTTGTTCCTTTGCTTATATTAAATTAAAGATGAGCTCCAAAAAAATAACTATCTTTGAATGCCAGGAATAAAATGGCTGTCATTAAATATCAGTCAAAATATAATAATTTCCTAAATCTAAACAGGGCCTAAAATAGTAGACCTAACAATCCCACCTTAACCTGTACGTTTGTTTGTTTTGTGAGCTACCTAGTCCTCCTGTTTATGAGAGTCAGACTGGCCGAGTACGATTTCATTGCTACAGCTTTTCCTCCTCTTTCCCATTGGGAAGCAGCTCAGTTTCTGCTTGAACATCTACATTATGCTGGGCAATATCTGAAGAGCTTATTGTTCAAAATGCCTGCCATCTTACACTAATTTTATCTGAATTAATTAAGGTAAAGTTAAGACATGCCACATTCTCTTACACTAAGAAAATTTAAATATATGGTGGGACTGTACTTTAAATATAAGCACTTGCACATTGGCAGGCAGACACTTATGTAGTACCATCAAAGAAATAAAACACATACTTGGTTACATTTACGAAGGTGTAAACGAGTATTAAAGCAAGCAAACAGAATACAGACCAGCAATTACAGTTTTAAAATCACCAACTAGAGTGTTATCTTAATTTTGTTTGCTACAGAAGGTCAACATTGAAATTTACTAGATCCCATTCATTAAATTTATGTTAGGCTGCCTGTTCTTTATCAGTGCTTCTGGATTTGGTTGTACACTTGTGTATGAAAATTTCAGTAGTTGTGAATGTACTACTTCAAAGAGGAAAAGAACGTATAAGAAAAGTACACATCACTGCTCTTGTATGACCCTGGGGGATTCTGCATCACCGTATGGATTCCTGGTTGTAGGCTAAATTATGTAATGCTATCTTAATGGTTTAGAGGAAAATGAGGCTTAAAGAGGCAAACAAGCAGTTCAGGTGTCATAATTGTCCCATTTATTTATTGGTCCCAGTTAATTGAAGGCTTTGCTGGTCTTCTCACCAAGAACCTGTTTGTTGCCCAGCAGAAAGACCCTCCCCATTTGTACCATGGCGCTGTTCTGCTCATGTATGCTGCTTAAGCCCTACTCAGAAGGACCAGCATAATTGTCACAAATGAGGTCAGAAAACCAAGAAGTGCATTCAAAGAATTTTTCAAACATTTTTACAATGTGACGTTTTCAGTGTTAACTGTTGAGCAGTTTACACAGAATTGCAGCGCTGTGTTCTTTCTGTTCCCAATTTCCACCCATCTTAACTTTTAGCAACTACTTATTTTCCTTACCAGCCCTTCTCTGCTAGCCTGCAAATAAATTATTCTATAATACTATTAATGTTGATGGAGACTCCTAAAAGCTTTGAGGTCTTCTGCAACCCAAACCAACTAGCCAGTGGCCTAATTTTGATTTCAGCCATTTCTATCAGATGAATTTGCCGATGGATTTTTTTTCAGTTTTATAATACTAAAAACAAAAGCATGATGTAATGAAAGTGCTATTTTCTTGCATACTCCAAGAAAAATAACACTGAACAAGTCCTCTCACAGGGTCTCAACACTAATATGAGTGCTTCTTTATATTTTATTTTATTATCAAAATATATATTTTTATCTGTTTTGTTGTTGGTACCGGGGATCAAACTTGGGGCCTTGTGCTTGCAAGGCAGGTGGCAAAAACCACTGAGCTAAATCCCTGGCCCAAAAGGCATTTTCTGAAAGTTCGTTTTCCTGATCCTAACAAGACATAAGGCAGTAGAATGCTCCTGTGTGTATCCTGTGTCATGGGCAGAGTTGTGGTCCTTAACATGTGACTGAGGACAACACAGTAACTGTCAAGCTGTTACTGCTCCTTCATGTTATGGAAGGTACTGGCAGCATAATGTTGCCCTAGTCTGAAGAGTCAGTAAGCAATTCTTTTTTTGGGGGGGCGGGGTACCAGGGATTGAACTTGGGCCTTTGTGCTTGCGAGGCAGGCAGCAGAACCACTGAGCTAAATCCCTGGCTAGTCAGTAAGCAATTCTGCTTACTTCTCAACCAACACACTACAGTGGACCCTTGAGTTAGGATGTGACACAGGAACAACTTGGGTTACAACAGGGATTTTAGCTTTAACTTACAGCCAACGTCTTGAGTTATGACCCCAATGCCAGCCTCTTGTGTTCTCAGAGAGTCTCACGTACAGATTTAACCTTTAAAGAATTCTGGAAGGAACATTACACCACTCTTTCGTGTGTGGGGTTCTTTGAGAGATCCTGGGCCAGCGTCTCCCTGAGGACACTGAGATCCGCCTGTGTGCAGGAGAGAGACTTTGGAGGTTGTATGGAGGAGCCTGAACATTCAGTTGACCAAGGTGAGTTACAACCAGTCCCCATAATGAATTGAGTTCCTAAGTCAAGGGTCCACTGTATATGGCCCTAGAATTTGCCAGATAAATGCAACTGCTTTACATAAGAACCAACCTGAAGGAACAGGCTTCAGAACAGAAGAGGGGATTATTGCCTTGCGCTTGGGAATGTAAGAAACTCAAGAATTCTATCAGTTACTCTCAGAGGGTGAGCTGGAGTTGACAGAGTTGCTGGGGCCCCTCGAACAGATCTGATAAAATATGCTCTGACCTAAACACAAACTGGAGTTGTTTTGTTGTGAGTGCTCTTGGAGCCTGAGCAGAGTCACGTGCAATAATGAGCTCTGTGTGCCTCACTGTGTGTGTGCTTCACACTGCTAGTGCAGCAAAGGGAGCTGCCCGGGGGGCTGAGCAGTGGGACACAGGAGATAGGAACAAGGAGGCAGACAGTGAAAGATGATAGAGAGGAATCCTGGAAAAAGCCCAGAGAATAGTACTTTTTATTCAGACTGGGTCCTACACATATACTCCTAGGTTGAAGTCACAGATGCAAGGTGTATGAACGGAAGGTTTCAGGGACAAGTGGTGTCTTCACGGAGCTGTTCAGTGACAGGCAGGGATGTTTTTCAATCTGTTTCTTTTACTTTCTCTGAGGAGGCACCAAAGTTTCTTGATGGCATTCTTCATCTCCGTATTTCTGAGTGTATAAATCAGAGGGTTGAGCATGGGGGCAATGATGGTATAAAAAAGAGCGAACACTTTGTCTTCTGGAAAAGTAGTAGCCGGGCGAATATAAATAAATAGTAAGGGAGCAAAAAAGAGGACCACCACAGTGACATGAGAACTGCAGGTGGAGAGGGCTTTGCAGCGACTCTCTGCAGAGTAGGACTTCACAGTGTATAAGATCAGCCCGTAAGACATCACCAAGACCACAAAAATCACCAGGCCCATCAGGCCAGAATTGGCAATGACCAAGAAGCCAATTTTGCTTGTGTCCATGCAGGCCAGCTTCAGCAAAGGATACACATCGCAGAAGTAGTGGTCTATTTCATTGGGGCCGCAGTAGGGTAAGAAGATGGCGAGAACAAACTGACCAAAGGAATGCAGGAATCCCCCCACACAGGAAGCTAAAATCAGGAGGTCACACCTTTGCCTGCTCATGACAACCGTGTAGTGCAGTGGCCTGCAGATGGCCATGTAGCGGTCATAGGCCATCGCCGTGAGGATGAAGACCTCGATGCCCCCAAAGAAGTGCATGGTGAAGAGCTGCGTCATGCAGCCACTGTAGGAGGTGGACTTCTTGGTCGCCAGCAGATCAGTGATTAGCTTGGGGGTCACAGTGGACGTGTAGCAGAGGTCTGACAGTGCAAGGTATCTCAGGAAGAAATACATGGGCTGGGTAACCAGCGGGGTGCAGGTGATGGAAACCATGATGAGCAGGTTTCCGGTCACAATGGCAGTGTAACAGAGCACAAACAGGAAAAAGCAGAGGACTTCTACTTTCTTTTTCTGAGAAAGTCCCAGAAGAATAAATTCTGTGATATTATTCCTATGTTCCATGATCAGGAGCAGTTTACAGCTACTTGAAATTAGAAGAATTATTCATTACTGTGAGATGGATTTAAACATGGTGAAGTTGCTGTCCGAGGGAGTGGAGTAGATTGTACTGGATAAGATTCAAAGGTGGAAGAAAGTCTCATTTGTACTTAGGAAGACTGAAGGAAGGGGTTTTGTCATTTTCTTGAAAATATTAATTATTAGTAATATCTTTGGCCCCTGAGATGAAGATTAGCATTTTAGCATTGTGTGTGTGTGTGTGTGTGTGTGTGTGTGTGTGTGAGACCGTTCTATCAGCTTTAATTAGAAAACATAACTGGATATTGTGCTCATTAGAACTACAGAATTCACACTTTGGTTTGGAAAAGTCAGATCTTTTGTTCTGTTTATTGTTTTTTTGTTTTTTGTTTGTTTTTGGTACCGGGGATTGAACTTGGGTCCCTGCGCTTGCAAGGCCACCGAACCACTGAGCTAAATCCCCGGCCCAGTTTATTGTTTTTAAAATACACAAAAATTAAATGTTAAGAGTGAAGACACTTAAAGTAAAAGTATATGAAGCTTAATATGTGAGTAGTATAAGCAAGATCCTACCATGTATCCTGTGTGGAAATGTTATATATAGAAATCATCGAATGTATTTGGAATCATGAAGTTTCTCCTGTACTTAATTTATAAATGTATTCAATAGATAAGTCTACCTGACTTATAATCAGTGCATTATGTGTCATGGTCAACCACAGGGATAAGAAGAAAAGACTGTGAAATCCATTTATCAAAGCATTATCATCTCAGATGTAAAAAATATTTATATATTTGACATTTAGCAATAATTTCAGGATAGTATTCATTGATTTGTTTTAGATTTTACTCTCATCCAATCCGTTACTTACCTGAATAAATGAACTTCTTTTCAATCAATGGAAACAAATTATCCATCTTTTCCTAATTCAGTACTGGGGAAGTGCACACTTTTTTCTGTTTCCACTCTATTACCTTAGTATTTGGGGCTGAGTTTTCCTTCTTTCCTTTGTAACAGTGTTAAAGCAATGTCGTACCGAGGGCATTAATATCCTTATGATAATAGTTGTTATATAATTTCTCACGTGAGAGAAGCAATGCAACATTCAAGTTTGTGTGTCTGATTTCTTTCCCTTAATATCAAGTTGCATCCTTTTACCTGTGAGTGCTCAAGTTTATCTCTAGCAGAGCAGATGCCATTGTGTATAAGTATTTCTATACCTAACTTTTTCCTTTTAGTCTTTTTCCCATTTAAAGTCGTGTACATAAACATAGAAATCCATCTTTTTGGAACTGAAATTAATTGCTACAAAATTCCCTTCTGGCATTTATTATAAAAAATAATAAAGAAGAAACATTCACAGTGTTCAAATAAGCCACTTAATTTAATCATATGCATTTAATTCAAGCCATTGCTTTACTCTTTGAGATTCTTATTAAGGAATGGATCAAATCATAGTTTAAGGAAACAAGGCTTAGAGTTTCTTTTTAGACTGAAAGTGGAAAATTAATTACCAAGAGTATTTCAAAGTAAATTATTTTCAATATGTTAGATAAAATACAACATTATTTTCAAAAGGATAATCATAAAAATTAATGAAATCCAGTTTATTAGAAGGAAGGGGCATTTGAAAAGGACTTGCTATTTAGTTTTTAAAGTTTATGCAAGGCTGGATAACTGTAATCCATGTTCCTGAATCACTTGACAGTGTTGTGTCCCCTATTTTGGAAGAGTCTGTAGAAATCTGAGAAGCATGACTCCTCCATGCCTGTAAGATCCATTTTGTATTTTCACACTTTTAAATCTCTCACAGTGGCAGTTCATCAAGAGAGACCCTTTAAAATATTAGGGTACTTGGGCGACAAAATGACACTCAATCTCTTCCATCTCTCTGTACTCCTACCTCACTCAGTGATGGTAGATACACCATACCCTCCTGCAGATTTCAATGCTTACTTAAGTATCAACAGGTGTTGAGCGTGAAGTAGGTCATTAAGAACTTCCTGTGGATCTGACCTAGTTTCTGATTCTGACATGCAAAACAGTGGTTTTACCTTTCTTCCAAAGACAGCTAAGAAATTTACAACTACACAGGGAGCTTGATTCCTTATTTATCACTGACGCTGAAGTCTTCTAATACTAAAATTGCACCAAAGCGGCCTTCTGCCCAGTCTCCTTCACAGCATGCTACTCTAACTCCTGAAGCATGTGTGCCTTTGTACCATCCCAGTCCTCAGAAGTCGCAGCAGTGTCTACAGTGTAGATTTCAGCACCTCTCACCAGCCTTCCTTCAGATTGTGCACTTAGTGGAGCTGGACTTTTTGCCATTCGTAACTGAGTCTTATTTAAAATTTTACGGAACTCCTACAGTTTTAAAATACAGGTTTCACGGACAACTATGCTTCACCG